CCTTCCAGTTCCGGGCCCGCTGGGACTCGGAGCTGCACCGGGAGGGAGGTGAGGGGCGGGGCCTGGGGGGGCTCTAGGGGCGGGGCTGGTGACGTGTCCGGCGGGGTGAATGGGGGCGCGGGCGCTACGGGATGACTGGCCCCGCTGTGCACGTGTCTCGCTCACTCTGCGTCCCGCAGTCTCTCACTACAGGCTCTTCCCCAAGGCTCTGGGTCAGCTCCTCTCCAAGTACCTGGTGCGGGAACTGCACCTGTCCCTCACCCAGGGCTTCTGGCGAACGCGGACCTGGGGACAACCCTACTTGCAAGCTCCAGCCGGGGCTGAGCTCTGGGTCTGGTTCCAGGACACTGTGACCGAGTGAGTGTCTCAGGTGGTACCACAAGTCACTTTTCCAAATGGAAGTATTATAGCTTCCCCATCCAAGAATGTAGCAATGGCCCGTTCCCAGCAGCCCATGGGTCACACTGAGCTTTCACCCAATAGACTCCATTGCAGCTGCTCATATCTTTAATTGGTAGACATGTCACAGGCCACATGTGACTCATCAGGGTTAGCCCTTGGTGAGCCTCCAGACACTTTTATTTATATGAGCCTCTGCAGATATGACTGCTTGCAGCTCCCTTTGGCCGTAGTTTGCCGTTACTGGCCATTGGCTGGAAACAGCAAACCACAACTACTGCAAGAAGCTGTACCTGTGGACTATCAAGTAAACAGTTCAGTATCCTGCCAAGAGATAGCCCTGACAAACTGTATCCAGCCCATGGTGCTGCTTGTTGTTCACGCATGCTCCAAACAATGTGGGGTGATTCATCTGATGGCATAAATGATCATGCTTGAACATTATGGCAATAAGGGGGGCATAGATTGAGGGGCGGCGAGCCCTTTCTAGGACCCTGTGATATTTCATGCTAATGTCATGGAAGCTGGGGGCAGAGCAGCTCCAATTGTCTGGCTGGCTGGAGCACTTCTGGGTTCCAGGTGGTGCCGGACTATCAGGAGTGCTGGACCACTGGATGCTGGACAACTGGAGTTTTTACTGTACATAGCAATCATCCCTATCCTCCTTCCAATGTCAGTGCTCCATAACCTCATTTCCTTCTGGCTGTCTCCTGTGCCCTTGTTTTATTATTGTCTCGTTAAGGCTCCAGTAATTATATTTACACATTTACTAACAAAGCTCTCTCTGCAGTGATCTATTCATTTATTTAAAAAACTCTCCAAACTTTTAACTTTAAGCAGACCCCTATAGTTTATGGGGAGAATGATAGTCGTATAACTTGTTGCTCTTATATTTTTCCATCAGTGTTGATAAAGCCTGGAAAGAACTTAGTAATATCCTCTCTGGGATATTCTGTGCCTCTCTGAACTTCATTGATTCCACCAACACCGTCACTCCAACAGCATCATTCAAACCTCTGGGTTTGGCTAATGGTGAGACAGACAGACAACCTTTGTGGAAGGGCTTGCTTTGCTCTGCGGGAGAATGCTGGTAGATTGACAGGTCACTGTTGTTCTGAGTGCAGAGTTTGGATGCAGGTCCTGGGAGGACTTGGTTGTGCTAACATCGTAGGTCTTCTAAGCGAATTTGGAAGTGGTGAGGTATTGGACAGCTCTAGAAATGGAAGCTACCTATGTCCACAGGACATAAAAAGCATGGGAGCAGCGATGCTAGATTATTCCCATCTGGGTCTCATTCTTAACTTGAAGGGAACACTTTTAGGGGAAAGAGGAATTTAGGTTCTCTGACTCATTTGGTCCTCTGCCTCTTTTCTGAGACTTCTGACAAGGGGGTCAGTTAGTGCCAGTTGATTATTGTGATATGGATACCTGCATAGCAAGAACAGGTCTCAAATCTTAAACTTCAGACCAGATACTAGGCAGCTGGAAGCATCTTCTAGTCCCTACCAAACTGGGTTTAATTTGAACCTGTGACGCAAAGACCCTCTCATATCTCAAGTTGTTCAGGCCTGTCCATGCAAAGGACTTTGGAAAGTAATGGGGATTGGAAGCTTTCAGGTTGTCTTCCAGAAACTAGACCAACAGATTTTTTTCCTATATGCTGGATTCACACCACATAGCTGTCCCCTCAGATCTATTGTTTGATGAAGTAGCCCTGCAGTAGTTTCTTCCCTTTTCCACAGAACTCTTGGGATTCTAGATCCCTTCAGAGACTGATCAGCTTTGGGGAGAGAAGAGTTTTTGCTTTGATGCACCTGGTCAGACTGACCCCATGCTCCTAATCCTCCATGTTCCCATTCCAGTTACAGATCACCATCTCCTGAGATATGCTGTCTTGCCCCGGGAGGTTGTCTGCACTGAGAACCTCACACCTTGGAAAAAGCTGCTGCCATGTGGTTCAAAGGTAAGGGCATATTCCAAGCTTTCTACAGCCCGATGAGGTCATAGCCAGAGTCTTTGGAACTGGGTTCCCAAATAGCATGTTACTGAATGGCTATACCGTCCATTGGAGTCTGCTCCCATCTCAGTAGGAGCAGATGGAGTTGGGATACTTGGTGAGTGGTGAAGCCTCTCCTTGGCTCTTTGAAAGTTTGGGATGCCTGATAGTGTGGGACTGGTTACATATATGGCTGGTGAGTAAATCACATTTTCTCCTTCCCTGTCTGCAGGCTGGTCTTGCGGTGTTGCTGAAGGCAGAACGTTTGTTCCACACAAGTTACCACTCCCAGGCAGTGCATATTCGCCCCATCTGCAGGGTGAGTACCATTGTTCGTGTCCAAAAACTGGGAGTGTATCATTTCCTAATCATTTGGGACATTAAACTGAACCAGACAAAGCTCTGGAGAATACTCATTAGGGAACAGCTCTACCCTTGGTCTTGTGAAATTGGCCGTGTGGGACCTAATCTACCCTCATCCAACTCTGTGCTGTTCTTCTCCACTCTTATCAGTCCCATCTGGGCCCTGCAGTGCGTCTCATTATCCTATTATAGCCCCATCTCCCTCTTATGATATTTTGCCCTTGAGTTTGTGTTGAACCCAGACTCTGGTTTGTCTTGTCCTGCAGGATGCTTTGTGTCTCAGTGTCTCCTGGGAGCTCAGACAGACGCTTACCGTGGTCTTTGA